ATGATGAGCCTCTTTGTTATTTAAAAAAAAAAAAAAAAAAAAAACCAGCTGGGTGTGGAGGGAGAGGCAGGACCATTGATAGTTTTAGGCAAACCTGGAAAGTTCAATTCCTGGGACCCACACAATAGAAGAACCAACTGCTACAAGTTGTTCTGACCTCCACACAAATGCTGTGGGGAGTGTACACGTGTGTACACACACACACACACACACACACATTTTTTTTAAAACTAAGGTTCAAAGCCAAGTTTAGTGATGCACACCTTTAATCCCAGCATTTGGGAGGCAGGAGAAGGCATTCGACGTCAGCCTTGTTTACCAAGTGACCTCCAGGACAACCAGAGCTAGCTACATAGTGAGACCATCTTGGGTGGGGATAAAACAATTCAGGTTAAAGCCAGGTATGATGGCACACATCTGTAATCCAGCACGACCACAAGGGCAGGCATTCCAGGCCACTGACCCACAATGAAACTTTTTTATAAAACAAAGAGTGGAAGTTCTCATGCTATAGTTCCATAGATTCCTGTGGAAATAACGCCCCGGTGTTGCGTTTCCTCCTCCTTGGAGATGGGGGGGGGGAGATCTTCCCTTGCTTTCTTTGGGTCCTAGTACTGCCAGCAATGCTAGCTTGTGGCCCCTTCATCCATCTTCAAAGCCAGCAACATTAAATTGCCCTGGTCCACCAGGTCACCTAGGAAATGCCTATTTTAACACCCTTAATCACATACACCAAGTAGCCTCACCATCAGGTTCACATTCACAGGGCCCAGGGACTTATGATGTGTACAACTTTGAGGGACCATGAAGTCACAAAGATGAATTTCAAAGTACCATCCATTCCATCATATAGACAGGCCCAAAGCTTGGAGAACCCACCACTGAACTAAGCACAGAGCTTCTGGCAATCTTTAAATAGGGGTAATCCCACCAGGCAGTGCTGGCACATGCCATTAGTCCCAACACTCAGAGGCAGAGGCAGGCAAATCTCTGAGAGTTTGAGGATGGCATGGTCTACAGAGCGGGTTCCACGACAGCCAGACAGAGATATTATACAGAGAAACCCTGTCTCAACTCCAGCCCCCATAAAAGGGGGCAATCCTAGTGAAATCAAATTCTCACTGGGAGCCAGCAAGGGAAGTGCATGTCTGACACCCAGCAGGATGATAAAACCTGAAGAGACCAGTATGGTCTAAGTTACAGACCAGCTTAGACAAATTAAAAAACAAAACAACAACAAAAAAAACCCAATCACTAAAACAAAACTTTGCTGAAATAGGCTCAAAAAAGCAACTATAAGTTCGGTTTTACTGTAGAGTTAAGAGGGAAGCTTGATGGTAGTCTTTGCCCAGCATGTTGAGGTCTTAAATTCAATTCCCAGTGCTGGGGTGGGGTGGGGTGGCAGAGAAAGGAGGTGCATGTGGAATCAAACAGGGTTCTATCTTTTCACATGTGTACCTGTGCTCACGTGCCATAGCAGGGCTTCAAGGATCAAACTCATCAGGCTTAATGGCACTTGCCTGTAACTGCTGAGATGGCTTCTCAGTTATTCTTTTTCATGTTTTTGGTTTGTTTGATTTTTTTTGTTTTGTTTTTTTTGTTTTTGTTTTTTTGAGACAGGATTTCTTTGTGTAGCCTTGGCGGTCCTGCCACTCAAACTCAGGAGATCCACCTGCCTCTACCTCCAGAAGACAGGAGCTCCCATCTCCTGGCAGATTTTTTTTTTTTTTTTTTTTTTTAAATGACAGGGTTTCTCTACATATCCCTGGCTGTCCTGGAACTCACTACCTGCCTCTGTCACCAGAATGCTGGAATTAAAGGTATGAGCCACCAGGTCTAACCTATAAATATGCAACAAACAGCATATTTATAGGTTGGTGAGAATGATCTAGAAAGAAAATGAAAAGGGCATCAGAGAAAGGAATAAAGAGCCCCTTATTCAAATAAGGGATGAAATCAGATAGATGGAAATACTCGCCTTAAGCTTAAAAAAGAAGTGAGGGGGCTAGGGAGTTACTCGGTGATTGTTTTTGCTGGTTCTGCAGAGGACTCAGGTTCCTGAAGCACTAATTTCAGGGGATCCAATTGCCTCTTTTGGCTTCCATGGACCCCTGCATATATGTGGTACACATAAACTCAACAGGCACACATATATGCTCCTTTTTTAAATCCTAGATATAGTGTTTATAGAATGGGACCCTTTAAACAGGAGTCAATATGTTGGTAGTAACAATTTAAGACAGTACCACAGGTGCCCACCAGAGATGGGTGAGATGTGGGTCAGGAAGTGTGAAGGTCAGGTCAGGGATCGGCACTCGTAGTTGGTTCAAATCATTGCTCAGACTATCCAGCACTATCACTGCACAGACGTCTCCAAGCTAGCTAACCTAGGAGCTTCCAGACAGTTCTGGAAGTTCTGCTTTCTGTCTCCACAGGAGTGCTGGAATTACACATACCCAGCTCTTTAGGAGGCTCCAGGGATGAACTGTCTTTTACCTGCAGAGCTGTCTTCCTGGCCCTTCCTGTTTCTAGGTTTAAAAACCAACCAATCAGAGCTAAAGTGAGCAAGGAGAAAGAGCAGATGAGACAGATGTGGCAGACCTGAGACAATGCAGACGCCACAAGACTTCAGACTTGATGGCATGTAGAGCTGCCCAATTTCAGGGGAAGAGGAATAGTTGGCTTAACCAAGACCAGCCAGAATGAAGACAAGGCATTAGCAATTTCCTGTAGAGCTAAGTAATTATCACAACCAGCCAAAGAATCTAATGGAGCTACTGTAGAGGACAAGGTTAATGCTAAGCTCTGGGACCAACAGCTTGTAGATGGCACAGCACAAAGCCATCCATCCACTGTAACTTTGTTTACCAAGACAAGGTGTCTTACCATGTAGCCCAGGGCAGCCTTGAACGCCCTGATGCTCCATCCCCCGAGCTAGAGTGCTTAGATTACAGATGTTTACCACCATACCAGCTTCCTTCCACCCACTGTAACTTTGTTTCCGTAAGACTGAGGTCCTCTAAAGCAGGATTCATCTTTCAATTCTTTGTACCTTGGCACTTTATCTAGCTTACCAATGATTAAAGAGAAATTCTATAATACATACATAAAGCAGGTAATTCTCCACTTTTAAGAGTTTAAAGAAAAATTGTAATGCCTTATCCAAGCCTATGATGTAAGCAAATTCCTTAGAATGAGACGCTGAATTCCTATACTGTTGTGTCCAGGAGGTGAACCAGAAAATGTGTTACTTGCATCCGAACTAAGGTCAGGTACACCTAACTGAACACTTCTCACTTCACCTCCTGAAAGCACATTATCAGGACACAAATCAGGCCTTGAGAATACCAGAGAAAAAGGAGCAAACAAACTCAATTTGGAGGTGGGGGGAAAAAAATGCACAAAGAGCATGTAAAATATGTTTTATTGTTCTTTAAAAGGGTTCAGGATTTGGTTTTAAATCAGGCTGCACACCTTTCAAAAGTTTGACATCTCTCACCATGCCAAACTGACTTCCACTAGCAATACTTCATTAAATCCAAAAGAAAAAAA